TATAACATGTATAATCAGACTTGATGATGCCATTTATGTAATATGATATATTTTTTCTTAAACAAAATCCAGACAGATCTATGATTAAATTGGTATGGTCTGCTGCCCGACAAGATGTTCGATGGCCTTAACTAGGTTTATTCTACTGTATACAAACCAAACTTCCTTCAAATTAAATATTTCGCCTGACAGGTAGCTTATTTTGTTATACATTATTTTTGTGCTCGTGTGTGAATGCAATGGAGAATTGTAAACAATGCAGGTTGACTGTCCTCAAAGAGGTGAATGCTCGTGTGATACATATAGTCCCGGGGTGATAGTACTTTTAGCACACCTACACTAACCGTCATTTCCGTTACTACAATAAACAAAACAAATACATAGGCCTATGACAAACTTCTTTGTCATTTTGAAAATTAACAAAGCCTTTTAGAGACTTGTTTTTGTCAATCAGCAAGCAATACTCTAAATTAGATTTTATTAATTCATTTGCAAACATTGTTTCACGATAAAAATAGTAGGCCATGATTTATTCAACAAGACTCGACCATGTGTGAGAACGAAAGTGATATGTACTGCTAGTATTAAATGCTGGTGACACACTCGATTACGGTGGTTACCGAAACGACGATTCGTTTCGGTAACAAAATGTCGGAACATCGAAGGTACGATTTTTCTTTTTTCCTTATTTCACACGTTGAAGGCAGAATTTCCACGACATTTTTTCTCACAAACATGTATCAGTATCATATGTTTTAGAAAATGTACATGTTTGCGAAAAAATAGCAACAGAATCGTCAATTTAATTCCTCACTTAAGTTACATAAACGGTATGGGTTAAAAGTGCAGATCTTAACTGTTTTTCGAAAAACCGTTTATGTAACATAGGACCTCCCACCCTTTTACACCGGTATAATGGTCTAAAGGAATATTTTTGGAGTACAAAATATTTACGTGCTGCTTCTATAGTGGGGTAGGCCTAGAGATGATAATATTGTTGTGAAAATTTCCCCGTCTTCTTCAAATCAGATAGAGAGCTGAGGCAGGTGATCAACTGTCATTTTATATGGGTGTAGGGTCACTAAAACCTGAAAAACCTAATGACTGTCGTTGTAAAGTGAGTAGAAACGCCCAAGGTAACAATAAGTGTTAAATAATACGATCAGAGACAATGAAACACGATCACAAATTCGAATTACTATGTTTCCCATTTCATAATTTTAGTTTATCCATGAAAATACGACTTTAATTTGTAGTCGAGCGTACCGGAGGGATACGGAGTTCCTGCGTCCGAATCCCATGTCCTGCAGGACACTCGGTTCGAAGGTCCAATCGGTTGCCAATATGTCATTCTGATACTCAGACCATCTCTGCTATGCACAAGGCAAAAAATCTTTCAAAATCATGCAGTTTTTCACCATTCTGAGCACTTTTTAAGTGATTTGGGCGACTTTTGGACCAAACTTGTCACAAGTGAACCCCCCTGGAATTTTTCAAAAAATGAACCCCCTAGGCAAATCCTGGCTAAGGGCCTGTTAATACTGGCGATATAAACAGCACATTTATAACATGAGATACAGAGTAAACACATTATTTTCTAAATTGTTATCTTTATGATGGACATTTTAGTATTTACCATGTCAATTAAAGCCCTTAATTGCTATAACATTTCAACAACAAAACAAAATTAATATGCATCAGTTACATGCATTGTGATATGTTGCAAATATGATAAGGCATACTAGTTATTGAAAATTTATTTCAATCGGCACGACTCGTGAACATTATCCTTTGCAGTCGTTTTACTTCGCTTCTTAAAAGAGAGCGTCATCCTAGTAGTAGTTTATAACTCTCTGCGTGCAGGGTACGTGACCATGGGAACAACCAGAGCGTTAATATCAGGTAAATAAGAGATTCTGGTGAGGTCTTATAATAATATCTGTTGCATGCATACATTTCTTGATTTATGTAGTAATGGGATACATGAAATCATTTTCATGCTAATTTATGCAATTCTCACAGACAGCGTATGGTAGGATAAGAAAATGATAAGACTACGTACAATGACAGATGGGGGGGGGGTGCGATCGCCCAAAAATTTCGGTTTCCAATCAGGGGGTGCGATTGTGGAATAAACAAGCCAAAAAATAAAATTTATTGCGATTGCACCCATCGCATCTCCCCCTGGCTACGCCTATGCTATGTCTATATCAATGATGGCCAGTCTTTACCATCCTTGCAGCAAGGGTATAAAGCATAAATCAGAGACTTCTCTGCATAAATGAAGTCCTTTGAAGAAGGATGAGTCTTTACTAATTTACATCTTCTTTCAAGTTGTGTTTTGTGTCACTACAATTTCACTAACGTATGGTGAAGTCCCCAAAGTTCCAACTACTAGTATACCTTATAATATAACAACACCCCGGCCAGTCTGTGGAACTGACTTTCACACATACCCGAACAGATCTATGCTTCCACGCAAGAAAGACGCCATGCTTAAAGTAGGAATCATGTACGAAGACTCATGCGATCAAGGTGAGAAAACCAATAGTAAAATCAGATGCCTCATAATTATCGATGACAATTTGATATGTGGTGTCTAGCTGAAAGACCATGGCGGTGACAAGGATATGTTTTACGAATATATGGCAGAACATGATAGTCAGTCTTTACTAATACGCAACAGAAAATTGTATCTGTTGATATAATAGTATTGATTGTGTCCAATTTTTTGTGGCCAGTGTTCGGCATCCGACAGTTGGTGTACGTGTTCGGCGTCTGTAACAAATCGCATGTGGTGAAATTTCGCATGATAGTGTCTTATTTCAAAATATCGTGACTTTGTAAATCCTTCTCGTGACTTTGTAAATCCTTGGTACGTTTTAACATTGCATTTTACAGAATATCACAAGAAATGCAGCGATTGCACATGGTACTGTGAACAATGTAAGAGAATGGGAAAAAGGGGACTGAAGAAACACAATAACAAATGTAAGAATTGTCGACCAAAATCTTCGACTTGGCGCACAATTTTTGGCTGTAGAGCATGCCTCGTCTTTCCGAAGTTCCCTCAATTCTTGTGCTTTGATTGTTGGGCAGAAGAAAAGTAAAACATAAAACAACTCTAGGAGGGAGTACAGCCAAGCAAAGAACTTATCAGAAAAGCTACTACTAAAATGTTTATGGCTGATCCGGATTATTTAATAAAAAGAATTACACCTTAATCGCTGCGTTACGTCCATCTTTCATAATTAGTGCAAATGCGTAGCACCCCCCCCCACATTACCAATTAAAACACGATTAGTTAGATAGAAGAACGGAGCTTTAAAATGCTTTTTATTTGAAGCTTCTAGCTCAATTTTGAAGGAAGTTTCATCAATAATAATATTTTGATAAAGGGGTATTCACTCTGCAGGGGCGTAGCCAGCTTTGAGTAAGGGAGGAGGGGTGCGATCGCCAAAAAACTTCCCATGCAATTTACACATCACATGTTATGTAGTCGAGTTAATATTAGCGCAAAACCCCCAACTTGATTTTGTTCAAAAAGCCATCATTACTGTAAAACTATTTTTAAGGAAAAGTAAGCAGTATGTTAAACATATACCCTATTGTCATGATTATCTGTTGTGTAGGCAACAAAATGGCACACATTAAATGTTGTTGATATCAACCCACATGCCTCAGTCTTCAGAAGAATAACATAATTTGAATACATGTACAGGGTGTCCCAGAAGTAATGATAATTATGCTCTAAAATTTTTATTTGATATGGAAACAATATGAAATTCACACAAATTAAAGATCAAGATGTTAGCTTCATTTTACTATATTACATTTATTACTTTACACAAATATATTCAATGTATAGTTGCCATAGCAACATGTACGCGCGTTCTGCGGAGCAGCTGTGTGTTTTTCATACATTTTTGAAAAACATTTCATGTTCATATGTTTCCCTGCTGTTCACATCACTACTGCAATGCTGCTACTTCATTCCTGATATTTAAGAGCATTGTACATTGTTGATTCACTTATCCACATACTGTCCTTTGCTGGAGACAATTTGTCTGTGCCTTTCCAGCCAGGATTGGAAGACATGATCAAAACCACTGTTGGACATATCCTGCAGAGCCAACTGAACCGAGCGGCGCAATTGTCACCGAACCATTTATGCCACCTATACACAGTGGGGTTGGACAGTCTTCTCTCACCATATGCTTGTTTAAACTCCTTTATAGTGTCACTGGGTCTTCTGAAGGAATTTTATGACTGCTCTCTGCTCTAATTTTTCATCTTTGCTCAACGTTGGTGGCATAATGTACACCTCCCTGGAAATTCCTAGGTTGTGTTCCTAAGAGTTTTCCTTTTGTGAAACCTTATATGACATCATCATGTGATGTCATAATATCAGATTAAAGTGATAATCCTGTCACAATGATATAAATTACATAATATTAAACCACTTTGACATCATGCAACCGTATAAAATTACCATAACAATGATTTAAAAGCTTGAAACATTATCACAGAATAACTGCTTTTCTAAACTAAACATTTATAATATACGGAAACTGCTCCGCAGAATGCGCATACATGTTGCTATGGCAACTATACATGGAATATTTTTGTATAAATTCATAAATGTAATATAGCAAAATGAAGCTTATATCTTAAACTCTAATTTGTATGAATCTCATATTGTTTCCTTGACAAATAAAAATTTAAGAGCATAATTATCATTACTTCTGGGACACCCTGTATATCCCCGGGTGTATATCAATTATCGTAAATTGGCAAATAACTATGAGTTAAAATTTCTACGACTTGCACAAGACTGAATATTAAGTACGAAGACCATAAGGCAACCATATTTTTATGGTTGCCATGGGATTTGCCAATTTCAGGGAACTACGGTTGACGTATGGTCGCCGTAGAGCAAATGTGAATGAGGCTTTAATCAGACGAGAGTGTCTTGATGGATACAAACAAAAGCAATCAAATTGAATTGTATCAATATGCAAGAGCTTTATGTTATGTACAAACAATATATCTATATATACACTTTAATAACAAATCATTTCTCCATTGTCCTCTGTCCTATGTCTTTCTACGTGTAATATGGTCATATATGACAATCTGGATGTATTTTGTGCTATCTATACATGTCCTTGTAGAGTTATCACCTGGAGTGTTGGCCTGAAATATAAATTAATAAAGTTGTATTTTTATTATTGTTAAAGTCAAGTTCTACATTAATCTTTAAAATCGATTCCTGTTTAAATCATTTATAAGTTTAGCACTTGTTAGTCTCCAACTTTTTAGTCGACGATGTTTGGCAGTTGGTGTTTGATGTCTATAACAAATGGCAGGAGGTGACATTTGCATGTTAATGCCTTGTCACTTATTACGTTCAGTAATGCCTTGGTCACATTTGCTCCGATTTTCACAATGGCACCCGGGCGATTGAGTATTTTGTTCAAAATTGAATAAAATATTGTATTTGACAAAACACCCAATCGGGCCTATGAATTTGAGCAAATGTGACCCAGGCATAACGGATGTGGATAATTCTGTTCCATTCTAAACAAAGACAAGGCATTTAGATGCAAAATGTCACCATCTGCCATTTGTTACACACGCTGATCGTCAACAACCAAATAACAACATCCAGATAAATGGAAACTATAAGAATAGTGATATATTATGATGCGTCATACATAATGTACAATCCATGTAAATCCTATCTAAGTGAAACTGCTTTGGGGCCTCTTAAAGTGCTCGATTTTGAAGATTTTCTACCTACAGAGCTATAGAGGTCCATTTAACAATTTTTAATGCCAATCGACCACATAACTTCAAAAAGTGTTCCATAGAGTTCCACTTGACAGTAATCAATGTATTATTTTTGTTTGACCTATTGGGAGATTTTCTTTTTTCATAGCTGTTAAATTTACCTTTGGATCCACATTAAGAATTTTTCTGTCTCGTTTATTCTTGAAAAGAAGTCCCGATGCATTCTCTGCAATTACTTGGTAGTTTGGTGTAGGGTTGGATGTAGAAGTTTGGGTTTCCCAGTTATAAAAACTGAAAATGTTAATAGATATTTTGTTAGAAGCATGATAAAATTAAAAAGCATAATGTGCAATATTCTGGAAACACAAATACAGATACATTAAAATACAATGAGTTCTCAATTAATTGTATTTTAAGTAGATCTTTATCATGTTCATACACAATGTAAATAAAATTCATGCAACAGTTTGGTTATTACCAAAGTTTCGCACTTACCGGTGTTAGAAAGAGTGTTTTAATCTTCACAGTCAAAGTAAGCAATTTGAAAATGTAAAAAAAAACAAAAAAGACCAGGCTTTATCCATTCATTCTTTCACAAATTTTTGAAAGCATTAAACTGTTAAACACAGACTTTGATGTTCCTTTCATATTTATGCCTGGGTCACATTTGCTCTGATTCATCGGCTGGCCGATTGAGTATCCTGTTCACAATTGTATTCAGTTTTGAACAGAGTACTCAATCGGCCCGACCCTGGCCAATGAATTGGAGCAAATGTGATCCAGGCATTAGTGAATGAAGGGGGTCTGGTCTGAAGCTGATGAAAATTTGGGGTGGGCGGTTGAATGGCATTCCATCTGAAGGCATTAACTATATTCAAAGTTTAATACTTGATAAAGTGCATCAGTTGATATCATTGGTCTTTATTTTACATAAACAGATAAACAAAATATGTGCATGCCACATGATATTTGTACAACATGTATTTAATTACCTCAGATCTGATGGCTTGGGTAAAAGTCGCTTTTTTCCAGAGAAGTAAGCTTCAAAATTTTCAGTTTTCAATCTATGTGCATAGTCGATGTAACCAGATATCTCTTGCCCTCTACTGTTTTTGTCACGCATGAACACTATTGACTGAAAAATAATAAAAATACAAGTTGGTCACTTCTATCAAAGATTTATCCAATGCAGATATTCAAATGTATTATGTAAAAGAAAAGATTCATTCAAAGTAGAACCCTAAGATGGCAGCACTGTACAATATATTTAAAACCTGACTGTATAAATAAAAGTCTGCATCGAAGCTAAAAAACACGAAACAAAATTATATCATACAGTTAGACGTTTTTTAAACTGATATATACTGTAGATTGGGTTAATTTGGCGCCCGTTTTAATTTGGCGAATTTGGCGAAATTGAAAAATTCACCAATATAAATCTTCGTCAAAATTTAGAATGAATCCCCGGGAATTATCTAGGGTATTTCGTCTAGTGTATTTAGGTCACTTCCAGTTCAGTTTTTTCCAAAAATATGAAAAAATGTCTCTCATAAATTGGCTCAGAACTGGTCAGTCACTCATTAATACTCAGGGAAAAACTAGAAAGGAAAAGCGCGTTATAGTAGCAGCATTGATCGAGGTGCAAAATGTAAATGATCTCACAAAAATGTACAAACGACGTTTGACGTGGTGAATATCGCCAGTGGTCCTCAAAAGAAAAAATGAACATAGCCAAACATGCCCATTTACATGGTAATTCGTAAACAGCCTGTAAGTTTAACATTGCATTGACATTTTTTTTTGCATATCCGCCAAAATAAATAGCCGCCAATATGCCAAAAATGGCAAAATCGCCGAATTAAGTAGCGCCAAATTAACCCAATCTACAGTATAAACAAAGTAGGTTTGCCAGTATAAAAAATACACATGGTTATTGACCATGTGCATTTACCTTTTACTTTCCTTTACCTTTATCATATCATATTATGATACAATGCAGCATGTTATTACTTACTGTCATTTTCCCACTCCTGTTTGCCTCCTCTCTCTGAGCCAGTGCTCTCAAGAAAGGGTCTTTCAGTTCCTTTCCAGTGCTTGCTAGTGTCCTGGAAGAGAAGGTTGGTCTTGAGAAGAATGAAGAACGCAAAACAAAATAATTTTTAAATAAAGATGCCATGGTTATCGATCTGTGTGTATTTATAAATATTCTGGATAATACTGGATTCTGTTGGTGCTGCCATCTTTATATCGGCCCAGAATATCAAGCGACATCAAAAAAATTCATAATGGATTAATAATGACACATGTAGCTTACCAGTAAAAAAATCATAAAATAGGGAGATAACATTGTTTCAGTCAAATGGGATTACCATCGGATTTTATTGGAATTTATTTTCACAGATTCATAAAATAGTAGATGGGTTAACTGCATTTTAGGGGGTCTGGACTTCAATCTATGATGCAAACGTTTCCTTTGACACGAGAGTACCTTAGGACCATAGAAACAAATGTATCCAAAGACACACGCCATATTGCGCTTTATATTGGAAATATTCACATTTTTCAAAATGGCCACCAAAAATACAACGGAGACAATATATTTTCTTCTATGCATACTATAATGATACGATTGGTGCCTAAATATACATTTTCTGGGCGAAGAATCAATTAAGTATGGGTTTGAGTCTTGAAAATTAGGAACTTCCTCTTTGGAATAAAAAAATTACGCCTTTATCAAAATGGCTGCCAGAGATGTAACAAAAATGATATCTTCACTTGTATGCATGCTACAATAGTAAGACTGGTGTCCAAGTATACATAACTGGGTGGTAGAATCCATTTGATAAGGTTTATAGTCTTTATTTTCCCAACGAAGAAAGTTCAGTGGGGATATAGTGGAGCCCTCCGTCCGTCAGTCTGTCGGTCCATTGTCTGTCTTATGTATGAATTTGCAATTATTTTCAGAATCCTTCAAAGTATGGCCAAATGTACTCAATTAAATTGAAGGTGGTATTAATTTTATGATTTATGCCTCAGAAAATTCAAAATGTCCCAGAGAAGGAGTTGATTAGCTATAAATTACTAGATATGTCGTCAAGGTATAGTTACATTATATTAAGTTAGATCTCAATTTTTATTGTCTAAATATGATTTTTAGCATTGACTAAATGGTCACCAAAATGTTTAAATCAGCGGAAATTCTGATATTGTACTGTATGTCTATAAGTTAACAAACATTTTCACTTTTTATTGAAAATGTATGCCTTTTTCTCAATGGCTGTGGAAAATATTACAAAAAAAATTATATCTAACAAGGGCTCTTAAACTTCTTCGAAAGTAGAATAGTTTGAAATTGTAGTTTTGAATATCAGTTTGCGATGACGGAAACTACGCTGAAAACAATGGATAGCATGGGAGATGTGGTTTTCAACTTCATCGCATTTCAAATGCCGTCCCCTTTTAAGTAATTGTTGATATAAAGTGAAGAAACATTTGATATGTTTTAATTCAGAAAAACAAGATCATCTTTTTACAAAATTAGCTTAACATTTAAAAAAAGTGCCAAGGTGGGATCCTAATTCATAATTTTCCAGAAAGCTGGATTCATATTTAACAATCATGGGGACTTCACTTGAAATAAAACACATTGTTTTAATAGTAAACACTGTAAGTACTCATTGTGAAAGACATATCTTAAAATCTTAATCTCTTAAATGTTCAATTGAGAAAATACGAATAATTTTCTCAATATGACAATATTCAGTGCTGTATGTGTATACATACATGTCTTTTTCAAAATGGTTGCCAATCAACAACAAGCTTAATAGTTTGTTGGTTGGATTATTGGAAGGTTCGGTAAACAGAGACATCAACAATGATTTGGTCAGAGGAGAAGAAGAGGGTTCTGCAATACTGTCATAATATATAGCCCTTGAAATCTATTCCGATCTTCAAGATTTTCTCTCGCCAGAAGGTTTCTGTCCATTTCTAACTATAGGTACATATGTATGTCTGTCCTGCGTGGTTTCTATCTATCACATTTCTCTCTTATGTATGTTTCATTGCAACAACTAAAGTTGCACTACCATTGTGGATACATATTTACTGCAAGTTATTGACTCGGGTCTTTCTGGTGAATTTGAGTAAAAAGAACATTGAAAGATAAATACACATTTGCTGTGTTAAGGTGAAAACTATATTTTTTAAGGCTCATAATCCAATTAGCTAGATGCGAGTAGTAACACTCTTCATTTTTGTCATTAGAAATTCAAAATTCAGTCTTACTGATGTTGAATTTGGAATCTTCATGAAAATACATCAAGAAATGTGGTTTTGAAATGAGTCCATCAACTTTTAAATTGATTTTTCTTCAAAAATGTGACATTTAGGTCAGGGAGATTCCCCATAGTCCCCATGTTGTAAAACGCAAAAAGTGAAATATATTTTCTTGTGTTGTTCAGATAATATTTTCTTTTACTGGAGATAGTTTAATTTGTACAACTATCAGATACAAAAGAGTAATATAAAATGTGAACCACTAAAAATTAAGAATATTCAAGTTTGAGGGAACTTTGTAATACCCTGCAATGTTATTTCACCCGAATTAACCACCTGGCGGGGAAATAGTAACAACCTAAATAGATTTCACATTCTCAAAAATGTGGATTTTGATGCCAATTTTATGAAATATTATGCCCAGAAGCAAAGAAACTTATAGCAAACATACAATTTCTGTTAGCAAAGATACCATCTCTTTGTTAGCAAAGGTACAATCTTTGTTAGCAAATATACAATCTTTGTTATATTTTCAGCTGCATATATTTCCAATATAAAGTGAAAACTATAATCTCACAAGACTTAAAATGAAATTGATTCTCCTACCCCATAAATATAAAATTTTGACACCAATCGTATCAGTGTAGCATGCACTGATGTAAAGATATCATCATTGTTATATTTCTGGTGGCCATTTTTAGAAATACATTATTTCCAATAAAGTAAAATTCTTATTATGAAAGACTTATTTAAATGGATTCTACAACCCGATATTATTGTATAGTTTGACACCACTCTTTCATTGCTTAGAAGGGAAGATATATATCTTCTTTGATATATTTCCGGCAGCCATTTTGAAAAATGCATATATTTTGAATATAAAGTGCAAGTCTCGAAAAAAAAGTACAAGACTCAAAACCTAATTAAATACAGATTCTGCAACTACATTAATGTATTTTTGACACCACACTTATAATTGTAGCATGCACAGAAACAAAACTATTGTCTCTGATGTATTTTGGCGGCCATTTTGAAAAATGTGTATTTTCCAATATAAAGCGCCATTTAGCTTGTGTGTCTTTGGATAAATTTGTTTCTATTGCCCTAAGGTATTTCCATGCCAAAGGGGACATTTTGTAAGGTAGGATATCTAAATTTGTAAGTATTTGTAAGGTAAAATATCTTCTTTGTTATATTTCTGGCATTCATTTTGAAAAACACATATATTTTGAATATCAAGTGGAAGTTCTTAATCTTCAAGACTCGAGATCTAATAAAATAGATTCAACGACTAAATCACTGTATTTTTTGGCACCAATCTTATAATTGTAGCATGCACAGAAGCAAAAATATTGTCTCTGATGTATTTTTGGCGGCCATTTTGAAAAATGTGTATATTTCCAATATAAAGCGCCATCTAGCTTGTGTCTTTAGATAAATTTGTTTCTATTGCACTTAGGTATTTCCATGCTAAAAGGGACATTTTGTAAGGTAAGATATCTTTTGTAAGTAGTAGTAAGGTAAGATATCTTCTTTATTATATTTCTGGCATTCATTTTGAAAAACGCGTATATTTTAAATATAAAGTGGAAGTTCTTAATTTTCAAGACTCAAGATCTAATAAAATAGATTCTACGACTACATCACTGTGTTTTTTGACACCAATCTTATAATTGTAGCATGCAAAGAAGCAAAGATATTGTCTCTGATGTATTTTTGGCGGCCATTTTGAAAAATGTGTATATTTCCAATATAAAGCGCCATCTAGCTTGTGTCTTTGGATAAATTTATTTCTATTACCCTAAGGTACTTCCATGCCAAATGGGACATTTGCATCATACAATGAAGTCCAAATGTAGTTAACCCATCTACTAAAATGTCTCAACATTTGAATTATACTTCTTTCTGTAATATTTTTGGAACTGTAGTTGCTTTGCCTCATGGCTGAATTTTACAGAAAACTTCAAATGTGCATGTAGGCTATAAATGCTCAATGAATAAAATGAAGGATATATACCTTCTTTTTTCTATTAATAACAAACAATTATATACATATACCATTAATTGTACACATAGTACAAAATCATTTTTAATTCTGTGGCATCATATGATTGACCCCACGTGTCACATTCCTCATCTTCCACTTAACCCATATTACATGTAGTACTTTTCATATGAAGTTGTAATCTTACTTTTGTTGGCTTCTCTTTGATAGTCTACTGGCTTCTGCTGCTTGTTTTCTTGCCTCAAACTCTTCTCTCTTTAGCACTTCGCCGCTACCCCTATAACCCAACTCCACCAACTGGCGTGCAAGTTCTTCATCCTGGAAAATATACCAGTTGTTTACCATTTTCACTCTAGGCAGGGTTCTAGGCTAATTTGTGAAAACAGCCAGTGAAAATCGCATGTTGTCTGCAGCTAATGAAACCCCTGCTAGGAATCTGCAGTGTTGAGGATAATCTGTACAAGGCCTAATAGAAGATTGGGGTTCCTAGGACACTAGAGAACTCTCAATGATGTTCTATTCTAAGCCAATAGACTAATGCTTTGCAGTTTTTCATAAGGACATATATTTCTATGCAAATACATGAATTATACATGTTGAAGAATGTTAATTAGGCTAAAGCTGAATTGTTGTGTTCAAAATCATACCCTATATATTTCAATTAGGAAAGAACCAGGATGTTGAAACTCTGCGCCAAAATGCAAGCTTTTCAACACAGGAGTTAAGAATATTTTTGTTTCCTGTACTGTCTTCAATTAGTATATTGGTGCTTGTTTCAATGTTAAAGGTTTCGCATCATTTTCTTTAATTTAAGACTGTTCAAAATGTCACTGATTTGTAATGACTAATGACCCTCGATAGCAAGTCACTTACAGTCTCAGATGTAGTGGCTACTGGCTAGCCCCTTTGGCTAAAGCAGTAGAGCGTCAGATTTTTAAAAAATGCGAAGGGTAGCCAGAAGGTGAGGCAGCATAAAACTGAATATCAATATGAAAGCCTAGGCTTACTCTACCGAGCTGATAAAATGGTTTTTGAGCCAGCTATGTCCAGTAAGCCTAGGTCTACAGGAAAATTTAATCTGGCACTGGCAGTCTGGCACAATAGACAGTGGCACTGGCAGAAAAATTTCAACTCAAGGAGTTAAAAATTTCCAATTTTAGATTCAAACTCATAAATTTTAATAGTATCCAGGGCAGGGGAAGATACCAATTGACCAAAATGTACCTCTAAATAGTATAAATCCAATGAAGTGATTTGTGAATCTAAAAAGTCTTCATATGTGTTGAATTCAGTAACAATATTATCATTTCCAGCTGCAACTTCTTCCTCCATTTTACTGCCGAAGAACACCAATGATGTAAATAATGTTCAGTCGCAGTTTAAGAATATAGTTCTTACAAAACTGAATTTCAACACTCCAGGTAAACGTTTTTTATAAATTTTAACTCGTGAAATATTCGTGAGATTTAAAATTAATTTTGTGAAAGGGGCTAGAGTACAACTTTACAAGCGATTCAACAAATTATAGTTCCAGTATTGCGTAGTAATTCTGTAAGTTGCTGAGCAACTAGACTTCGGAAACCATCCGAAGATTTTGCCGGGAATTACCGAGCGCACCTGCTAAATTCATTAATAAATTAGACAATAAAACCCCAGTGTGATTGTTTGTTTTGAGTCCTTGACGTCTGTGCAATTAGCTAAGAATGTGCAATATCATTTTAAAGGCTTAATTGTATGCTTATTCAGTTTGAAATGAGCATTTTAATGTGTACTTCCGGTTTATGCAAATTAGTCTCCAAGACAACATATACACTTCCGCAAATGTACAGATAAGCAGGTGTTAAATATACTTCTGAATAAAGTTGTATTTACTCTTCAATTTGATGATTATAAACTGTCAAACTTTATTCCGACATTCATAAAGGTGTTTTCCAAAGTAGGAGGATCACTGGCTTGGTGAAAAGGCCACAAGTGTAACATTAGAAAACTTTTCAAGGTAGGCAAATTTATATTTTGGATAATTTCAGTTTCAGATTGTGTAGCCTAAACTTACTATTGTACTGAACATTAGAGGTGAAAAGTAAAAGTGTCACTGTGAATCAATCAGAGATTGTTCATGAATTTTTCAGGGTTATACCTCTCATCAACAATGGTCATAACAGATTTGCCGTTTGACCGGTCTGCTCAAAAGCAGCCGGTAATGCAGAATCGTTACCAGGTAATTGAACGTCATGAACCTATGGATAGTGGAGATGAAGAAGCTGCGGAAGAGAGTAAAGCATATGCATCATTTCTCAAGTAAGTTCTAATTACTATAGACCAATGTCACATGATACTGAAAACAATAGCTGATATAATACACATGTTAAAGTAATGTAACTCCCGGGGGTCACACATGTAAAAGTAACAATATATTTTCTGAAGCAATGGGTAATGTGGGGAATCAAAAATGATATCAATGTGGTCATTCAATGATCATTAAGCAAGCAACTAGAATGTACATGTACTAAATTAGGTCACAAAAGTATGTGTGTCTAGTTAAAAGCAAAGAATAATCAAGCTGTTACTGCTTTGAAGCCATGATAATTTCGAAGATAATTTCTTATTACGAAGACACTGGACCCAAATTTTACACCATTATCATAATTGATTTGTCAATATAAATGTTCATACTTTCCAGGGAACAAGAGCGGAAATGTAGCAAAAATGGATTTCTTGACTCCTCAAAATATACACATTCATATGAAGTAAAGAAAAACAAGGAAAAGATGGGCTCACCCAGGAGAACCATGGAGTCTGATTCCCTTAGTAAACCATTCACTGTTGTTGACCTGAAAGCTAAAATTGAAAAAGATAAAAAGGATTATGAGAAAAGGATGAGGCATATTGAGGTAAGGATTGTCCAGGATTATAATTTATCCATTCTTGAATGAAAGCTTGATACATCAAAGCAATATATACTATAGTATCAGGGATGGGACCACTGTCAATTCTACCATATTTAGCTTTGGTATTAGAACTTGGAACACTATGGAACACAATAGGAGAGAGACGGAGACGCTGATATTGTCCAAATTTCAGAAAGTTTAAACATCATTATTGAAAAATTTTCAGTTCATTATATGTATGATTATAATAATTATAATAGTAAAATATATAAGTTGTTCCTATTTTAATTATTCCTCCTCTTTCTGAGTATATGCCATTCTATTCCAATCAAAAAGTTGATGAAAAATGAACATTTTTTTGTTTTTGATCTGAATCATGATTAATCAAGATTTTAATTGCATTTATGCCCTTTGAGATGTAAATGTAGTTATATGCTATGGACTGTGTATGTATATATGTAAGTTTAAAAAATGTGTAATTTTCATGAATTGATTACAGGATCACATGTGGCAACACAAACAGGAAGAACGTGAGCTGAAACGTGTCGAGGGTGACGTCATAAAAAATCAGCGAACTTTACGTCAGTCTTTACGTGAAGTAGAGCAAGGTGAGTCTATATTTTAATTTGAAAAAATCACATTCAATATATTTTAAGGCATAACTGCAAGCAAAAGGACTATTTTCTATCAGATTCATACACTGGAAGTTAAGCAATTTTGAAACAAAGAGAGCCTCTGTCACCATGAAAGTATAAATGGTTTTTAGACTCACCTAGAAGATGCGTGTATCTCGTCTTGTAATTGTTTGGGGTTGAAATAAAACATGAAAGGACTAATTTACCAAGTATGACTTCAATTATATTTGCAGCGCTTGTTTCATATAATAATTTGTACATTGATTCTGCTTATTTCAATATTCTGCTTATATCACTTGCTTTAGAGATCACAAAGAAACGAATGGCAGAAGAGCGTAAACTTAACATAGGGCTAGAAAAATATGCAGTTCTTCAAAGAGTTAATGCTCATAAGAAAGAAGATGTGAGTGAAATAGTTGCATGATGTTGATGTGTCCTCTCCTAATCCTAATTATTTTTATTTTTAAGGTTAACCTTTGTATTGGTGATGTGCCATTTAATCCTAACACTTTTGTTTTATTTAACTAACCCATTTATGGTTTAAGACCTGTATTGTCTAACATGGATTTAACCTCTTTATTGGTTTATATTAGCATTGTATTGCATATGGTAAATACTAAGAGGGGGAGAAACCCCAGGGTTCAAAGATGACATACGCTTATAATGTAAATCTGTATTGAGATGACATCGTCGCTGATTTGTTTAGCGAGTCGATTGGTTTAAAACTAGGTCAATTTGAAAACTTTGAAAACCAAGATGGAGGGAAGTATAAATATACATACTTCCAGGAAAGGAGGTGCGCGAAGGAGGAAATCATATGTCATCAATTGAATCATGGGGTTTTCCCTCCTCTTGTAAATACTCAAGTGATCATATGCCATATCCATTATGGCATATCAATTACGCAACTTACATGAAATCTCTTGAATGGTTGAGCAATAAAATCTGTTATAAAACAGCTTTTGTCCCTCAAAATAGTGTTCCACTAAGGAGGTGTTCCATTTACAGAAGCAATAATAACTTGATTTTGAAGTGTTCCACTTATGGAGGTGTTCCACAAACAGAGGCATTTTTACTGTATTTTTTGATTTTTTCTTTCAGTGTTCAAGTGAGTGAATATATCGAACTAGTTTCCCTTCCCTTTTTTACCCCTTTGTGTGATTTTATTTTTCACTTGGTTTGTTAACCCCTTGTGTACCAATGTGTGTTGTTAACCCTTTTGCAGCTAACCTAAATAGAAAAATGGAGGAAGAGCGCAGAAAAGCAAGAAATAAAAAATATCAAGAGGAACTGCGTATCGGCAGAGAACACGAAAAACAACAGGTTGAAATTGTTAATACAGTATTAATAAATGAAGACATGTACTCTATATTTTTTCATTTTTATTGGTAAAGTTCTTGTATATACTTTATTTTCTTTGCTATAGTAGATTTGCATTGAGATGAGACATCATAATATCTTATTACATTCCAAACTTTTGCTGATTTGTTTTACTGACGTTTAGACTTTTCCTGTATTTATTTTTGATGCATTTTATAGTAATTTAATTTAAATTTTTTAGACAATGAAGAAGCGCACAGACAACAATATCCAAAAAGAGGTTGAAGCAAGGTCAAAAGGTCGCAAAGTTCATTTGAATACATCTGACCTTGCCAGGCAGTATCGTACAAAGAAAAGTGAAATTGAACTGAAAAGAATCGAAGCTGATCGCATAAGTCAGGAATTTGAAACTAAAATGAGACAGAAAGAGGTTGGTATAATTGAACATAGTCTTTTAAAAAACTGAAATCATGGTTACCAAATTTTCTTCAGGGTGCAGAATTGAATTGAACAAAACAATATTATTTGAACAAGTGGACCTGGTATGAATTTGCCCTTGACCTTAATATTTAAAATATTTTTGTGGGAAATCAAACTGCTTGACAAAAACTTTCTGGGGCCACTGCCCTACTGGCCTTCTACATTGTAAATTGTACAGATGTTTATATGGCTCGAGTAGTTTATTTTATGTGCCCATGTATCTATTCCTTAGGCTGAACAATTCAAACTGAAGCAAGAACTGGCTGAGTTAGCCATTGGTCTCAATATGGAATCCATGAAAGGCAGAACTGAAGACCATACACATAAACAGTAAATAAAACTAAAGCATTTGTATTGTCCACCATTTTGGAACTCTTTATATTTGTAATATTGGCTTACAGTTTGAGGTATCGGTTATTAAGGGAATGGGAGGCACATCGAGTTATGATCTGTAGATGTAATAAGATTTGTCAAATATGAATGTTTCAACATGGTGGACAAAATAAAAGCTTTTTGTGTGAATCACGCATTGTATTTAATATGTGTTTATTGTCCCGTTTGACAGCAAGAACAGTTTAAACTCAAGCAAGAATTAGCTGAGTTGGCAATTTCACTGAACATGGAGTCATAAGAGGTTTGTATGTCTCATCCATACAGAAATCTTAATGAAATATCAACTTGGATATTTGTCATAAAAATATGCTCTGTACATGTAATTGAACGTATTTTTGTGTTTGGACACCCTCTTCGTACCTACATGTATTAAAATATTATTTTGATAATATACTTACATTTGGGAATAAACATACAAAATGATTAGAGCTTACTATGTTTTTCTCAGGACACCATCATATCATATTTGCATTAGTGGCAAAAGTATCATAAGAACATTTCTCGCTCATGTGTACGTGCTGGATAATTGATGAATAACCCTGATCCTTCTGAATTACAGTGGAGGTCTACAAATTGAATTGAATATGTTCATGCTCATATGCATCCACAGATTACATATGTAGCCCAGCCAATCTTTTTAACAATAAATTAAGTAGTGTTATTGTAATAGATCGACTTATTTTGTGGGAATTTTATCCCTTCAATAGATAAATAAAGCTTGTTATTTAGATATTCATATTTTACCATAGGGAGAGAGGCAAGAATGCTATTTCAAATATCCGAGATGACCTTGAACATAACAAATCATTGGAGAACAAACTTGGCAAGAGTGATGGAGATACAAAGGGTGCCGAAATGCAGAGGAGAAAACTGAGTGCTGACTTGTCACTTAATCGAGGCAACAATAATCTGAAACAGAGAGAAGGTATGAATTGTTTAGGTGTAAAATTTATTGGGGCGATTATATTTGGTGAGGCAAGTTTGAATAACACATTCATATAACTTCATACTTCAGTACTGCTGGAATTAGCACTGAATATCGTGCACATTAGCACTCCTCGGGGAGTAGCTCCTGAACTGTACCCCATATTTTTATTTGCGTATAATTTTTCACAAAAAGTTGACTTGGGAAAAAAAGTTTATTTTAATTGTAAATGCATTTATGGCTACGTTCATGTTATACCTGAATTAGATTAAGATGGTTAATTGAATTTGCAAAATTATGCAGATTTTCACGTAAAGAGCATATGGAGTTTATTAGTCATATTGTGACTTAATACCTGATTTCATCTTTTAGAGGGCCGTAGAAAGTTGGATACCAAGAATCGTATTGAGGACAATTCTGAAGTTCAACGTCAACTGAATGAGGCGGCTGCAATAGCTGAGACTGAGCGCAAAGAAAAAGCACTTCAGCAAAAACTGCAGGTAATATTTTCATTGCAATAAAAATCAACCACAGTAAAGCTACATGTAATCTGAATTCAATATTTAGATTAGTAGGTGTCCACATTTCAAGGTTTCTTGATTTACAAGTTAAGGGAGATAACAAATTTGGAAAAAGTGTTCACATTTAGTATAGAGGTGTTTGGGTGGTGAGCTAGAGGTTTTCAAATATACAGGTTTTACTAATATATGGTTCATCTAACTAACCTGAATAATTTACTTTCTTTCATAGCTTTCGGATGGAAGTTATTCAGGTTAGTTAGAGGAACCATATATTATCATTAGTCAGAACTAACAGATGAACATCTGTGGCACTATACAGGTTTTATTATACATTACCGTTTACATGTTTGACTCTTTTTGAGAAAGATGGTAGATAAAACTCATTTTTTATATTATTTCACTTTGTTCTAGGAACATGAAAATAGAAAAAATCGCAGAATTCGAGCACACGTCGCAGAAAAGAAAGATCGGGATGAGAAGAATGAAACGCATTGGGCATCAAAGTTCCAAGGTCGGTTGCTCGATACACAAAGGCGAGAACACGAAGATCATCTCAAACATTTTACGGTAAATATTTCACAATTGCATGTCTGTTGACTTGTTTTTCATGTACATGTACATAATTGTTTCAAAACATAGTTCATCAGAGCTGAACTACATCATATAAGGGATCTATCATTTATCAGCAAAATTTGTTATGGTGACCATCATTTTCTTGTGGTCTGTGTTGGACAGATGTCCCTGAAAGGCATGTCAGCTACCAGAAATTTAAGTATGCATTAAATAAAAAGTTTTGTGTGGTCAAAAGGTGTGGCCAATATACATGTAATTGCCATTTTGACCGACATTAACAAGTTGATGCTTTGATTTGAACTTTTTATGAAAAAAATCAATCACTTTGAGAGCATATTCTACTACAGTACTGTACATGTAATTGTATATTGATAAAAATTGTAAATATATTCTTTGCAGAAAACTGTCACCAAAGGAGAAGAAATAGAGCATGACTTATACCAAAAAGTACGCAATTCAGAATATTCCCGCCAAAAACGAGAACAGGAAGTACGTAGGCTTCAGTTGAAACTGGAGGACACAAAACGGAATAATGCAATAAAAATCAAGAATGAGATCGCAGATGCTTATAAACAAGAGACAACAATGACACAGAAATTAGTCAGACAAAAAGCAGAGTTAGCCAAGGTAAGGAATTTTTGCCTCAGTTTTTCACTTTTTCCATTTCTCCAAGAAAGGCAAATGTTGATAACAATATTTATTTGTACTCATCATCATTATTAAAAGTCTTTATGAGCTCATGATAATACAACATATGTTCCAAAAACTTAGGTACATGTATTTTTATTTTCAAACATCTACAAAAGATGGCGTATGATTCACTTGTTGATATTTTATTTTTCTTAGAATTGTTACTTGTTTTCAATTTGGTGATTTGTATAGTATTTGAAAGTTGATCATACCTATCTGTTCAATGTATATTTATCAGTTGTATCCTCTATTTCATTCTTGTAACGTATAACAGTGGCTTGATAAAGTAATAAAATACTTCACATATTTGGGGAAGTCACAGGAGTACATTAAAATCTGAAGAGGATGCTCAAGAGGGGGGGGAAACCCCAGGGTTTAAAGATGACATACGCTTATAATGTAAATCTGTATTGAGATGACATCATCGCTGATTGGTTTAGCGAGTCGATCGTTGATTGGTTTAAAACTAGGTCAATTTGAAAACTTTGAAAAGGGAAGTATAAATATACAGTCTTCCGGGAAAGGAGGTGCGCGACAGAGGAAATCGTATGTCATCAATTGAATCATGGGGTTTTCCCTCCTCTTAGGATGCTCTGAGATAATCTGATTTAAAGATGTACTCTAAGCCTTTATCTGTTTGTCAGCGACTATTAATAGATAACTAATCTTAAGACAAGTACACAACAAACTTTAATTTTCATAATACATATAATAACAAACTCAGCGCTTGACACAGAAGTATGAAAAGCTTTGACTTGTTTCTAAATTCAACATCATCGTTATACTTTTTTTAATGATGATGATATCCAATTGTTTATAGTTGTGGAGGAATTAACCAATTTTATTAGGGGGAGGGGTAAATGATATTTTGTTTGTGAAAATATGAAATTCAAAAATGCATGGCATATCAGTGTTTTGAAATTTCATTTTTGAGGGGTAGTGTTAAACCCTTATGAAATTAACTAAGGTGCGGCAAACCGTCAACGTTTGGCCAAATTCCTTATGTGTTAGTACCCATTTTCATAAAGGTTTGATAAGTTCTCATAACTCACTCCATCTTTATTGTTCTATTAATTTGTGAACATGTAAAAAAAAATTTAAATCTCATGAGTGAAACATGACTCCAGTATATTATATGTCCATTTCTTGACCTTCAAAATGCAGTTTTAAGTAAATTAAGATACTTTAAGTATTATTTATGGTTTATTAAATCTTACTTGTACAAAACTTGTATACACTAGATATAAAAAAGATATACACTAGTAAACATAATTTAATAATTTTGTATTATTAATAGAGCGTATGTCATATCATCTATCAAATGCCAGTATAATGTTTTCGAGTTTGAATTCTTAAATTTATCCTAAATGGCTAACTGCGGGTTAACTTACACCATTTTAACTTAATGTCACTTTTTCATTACCACAAAATTGAAGCATAAAAAATTGTTTTGAATGGTGTTTCATCTGAGCCTCTTAAGAGGCCTCTTATATCAATATGAAATAACTAAGTGTTTTTTATACGCATGTTTTCTAGAAAAGCTTGAGTGGTTGTATCATGTTTAGTAATATGCTAACATACATTTGGTTGTGTTTTTACTCTAGTTCATTCAAAAATAAAACTTGATACTTGTTCTGTGTGTACTCGTGCTTTGAAGGTTATGAATATCTCAATGTATATGTTTTAAGTGTGGGGGTCGTTGAAAGGAGGGACGGGAGTATCGGATGGGTATAATGTGAATTTTAGTGTTTCCAATCTTTAGATACCCTGTTTGTTATTTTGTTCACAGTCCAGTCGGGAAAAATGAAAGCTTTTCATTTCACAAGAATTAATAGTTAATTTTAATTTATAGTCAGAATGCAGGGTATGTGCACCACACTTTAAATGTAACCTTGTTTTTTCATCATGATGTATACTACCTTTTATTTTTGGTTTTTGTATATCTCGTATATATTTTTGTACCTTTGGTTTAGTCAGTATTTGTAGTTTAGATATTTAGTTTTTCATAGTTATAACTAATGTAATCATGTTATGATACAAGATGTCAATAAAAGTTATATAATCCGTTGGAATCCATTAAAATTTTTGAGAATATTTTGTTAAAAGAGATTAAAGTTTCCTGGAGTAATTTTCTGGACATTTTAGAATGATCATTTTGCATTCTTTCAAACAATATAAACGTATATAATCATATGATCAAGAATTGGTGTACAGAGTTTTGTGAAGTGCCCAATATTCCTAATAATATGAACAATGGTTTATGATATTTATCCTGCTGAGTTTCACAAAATATGTTCAAATTGTAATGATTATGCAATGTCTTAGTTGTAAAAATCATAAATTTTAATCATTTCACTATATTTGAAGTATTTCTCTTTTGTTGGTGTGGGTAGGCAGGGATATAATGTGTATTTTCAAAAAAATCAAAAAAGATCAGAGTGTTTTCGGGCTTCTTCAAACTTCTTGATAATATTTGATGCATGGGACCGGAATGATTATTTTCAAAATTTGAAGTATCCGTCTTTCATTTTAGTCCCATTGTCACACAAGTGATTGATCACAGAAAATATTTATATTCTTCTCTGATAACTGAATTGTTTGTTGTTTTAATTATGCAGCCTTCGTTCACAGGTGGTCACAAGATGTTTGATCATTTATATTGTTACCTCCGTTAAAAATGTCCTTTTGGTCAACATTTTTGATATTTCTCTCCAAAATTTGATTAAACTGTTCGAGTTTCTGTCATTTCTGTTCAATTTAGAGTCTTTGTGATGACGATATTGAGTTGGTTTTTTGTTTGTTCATGTATTTTTTACCAATTTTCGCATTTTAAAAGTTGACTTTTGTGACATTTTACCAACTGGTATGTCCTCCATGTACAACAGACACACACATGATGGTTATATATTTCGGCAACATGTGGTCAGTTATGATTGACCTTTTAAATCTAAGTTCAGATTTCTAGGTTGAACTCAGATTTGGTATCTCTGTTCATTAAAAGTTTATGTAGTTAAAATTCATTCAGAAAAGCAAAAAAACTTGATGTAAAAAAATTGACTGGGTAGCTGAGGAGGCATTGTTTTTCAAGTATCTCTTACATGTCACTGTTTTTTTAAGCGTTTGGGTTCGGAATGACTTATAGTTAAACATTGATCAACATTATACTGATCAACATTAATATATACGTTGGTCTGTTCATTTGATATCAATCTAAACCAAAGAAACATAAACTTTTAACTTTGTTGAATTTTGTTTGACCCATGACATGATAATCTGATATGCCCTTCAAAGCATGCAAAAAATTGGACAAAAACTAGATTTTGATCGATAGAAATTATTTTTGAGTTTTTCGTAATTGAAAGTTCACAAGATGTAATTTGTAGCCATACAGGTGGTTTCATACATGTTTATTCATACATCTGTGTGCCATATGATTTCATTACCTGTTGTTGAAATACCACAAGGGTCATCTTTTAAAATTCAAAATAGAGTGGAAAAGAGTGGAATAAGCAAGAAATAAAGTATACAGGGATGTAGCCAACACTCTGAACTGTATAGAAATGCCAGAAAATAAGACAGTTTATTCAAATTTTACGGAGAAATTATGTAAAAAAGAATGGATAGAGTGCCACCTGTAAACCATATGCTGAATTAGTACTTCATATTTTGTGAAAATTATGTCAAAAGCACATTTCCACAAGTACTTATCCCCATGATTGAAAGTTGACAAGTGAAAAATGTGTGGAATAATAATAATTTATTACTGAAAATTTAGCGCCATTCATAATCACCACTTTTACTGATAATGAATGGAGTTTGCACAATCGGTGCCTTTAACTTTATTCACTGATGTTTCCACTTTCATGTGGTAAACGTTTTTTATGAATTAGTTGATGTAGAAAATAACAATGGAAGATATAACTTAGTTTATTTACATTGCCCCATATGGCTGATTCCACAATATGGGATGCTTCATATGTTCTGTCAATGCCTAGCAATAGTTGATTTGTTGACACACTTAGCTAAACAGCTGGTCAGAGAATTGACATATTTCAAAAACGATTGTTTTAGCTGCACATTTTCAAAATCCAAATTGAACCCGTGGGAATTTTATCAAGTAGAAGGCATCAAATATCCCAATAGAATAAATGATCTGATTTCATCTTTCATTTTGGACATTTACTTAACGGAGTCGTTGTTCTTGAAAGTCCAATCACTTCGCATTTTCCACAGGGATTTTGATATAGACATTAAACTAAAAGGTCAATTTACTTCCTCATTCATTAAGATAATGTACTTATTATTTGGTTATCTTCCAAGCATCTAATTGTAAAAACTATTTTGCTTTTATTTTTATCATTCTATTGTGCTAAAATCACTAACCAACTATTTATAGATAGGATTTACTTGTCTAATAAACTTAAAGCATTCAATGGATCCCATACATACTATAAGACATTTAGAAATATTAAGAAAATTTGCAAAATGAAATATTGTTGGTTCTTGACAGCTTGAGTTATCTGTGATGATATATGCTTAATAAATTAACACAGGTATGGTCAGTATATTAAATGACTTTGATGCTACTTCAATGGCCCTAAAAATCTAAAGTCAGATAAGACAGGACTCATGTTTGAATCTCTGGGGTCCATTTAAACAACATCCCCATATGTTGAAGACATCGCCATATTGTACCAATCAAGTTAGAGGTTTCAATTATGTTATCTGATATATTTGGCATTTTGCAGTTGGATAGTAATCAAATGAGAAAATAAACCTGAGAACAGGTGTGTTGTTCAGATATTAAAAGTGAAAACAGGAATTCTCAAAAATTCCACATTAAGTAAAACTGTGATTTTAAATAAGCAAATGTGATTGGTCGATAATCTGTCACCTGATTAGTAGAGACTCATGGGAAAGCACCTCCATTTGATTATGATCTCATTTCTGTGACAGATTTGTGAAAAAATACTATTATGAATGTGTTTGCTTCATATAGAAATATATTGAGGTATTTTATCTTTGGAATCTTAGATTTCTCCATCTCGCCTCTCATATGGAACAACAATGAAGAGTAAATATGAAGAAAATATCATGAGGAGCTACGTGTAAACACAATCTTTGATAGAAGATAACATTTGTCCCTTAGATTTTCTTAATTTTAGTGTCAAAAAACTATATTGAACAAAATGTCTATCTAACACAAAGTTAAATATGTATACTATTTACAAATCGGGGTCGTCACTGGGTGTTTGGGGATGAGTTCTGGTGGCACTCCCTTCTGAAATCTCTTTTTTGAAAAAATTCCCTGAAATGCATTTACTTATTATAGTGTAGCACTTTTATTTTGCCAAAAAGTGACAAGCACTTATTGTATGAAATAAATACAATTTGAGATTCATGAAAATGTTGAATTTCAAAGTTAATGACAATTAAGTTGACTTCCCTGAAACATAACTGTGTCTTTAAAAGGTTGTCCGAAGCCTGTATTTTATTATTCTGTGTTCCAGGTTCATGCTCAAAGGGAGGAAAGTTATATAACCCTGCAGAAACACAGAGACTTTTTGAGGGAGGACAAACACTTGAAGGAAGAGCATGAACGAGAGCATGCTAGACTTTTACGACTAGGCAACAAATCAGACCATTATCTTACTTCATCTGCGTGATCAGGTTTGAGGTGATTCTTACGGAGATGAGGTTATATGGAGATTGGGAAAAATTACATCATCTGAGAATCTATTTTGTGTCACGTGAGAATCATATTGTGTGAGGATCACATCATGTGATAATCACATTGTGTGAGGATCACATCATGTGATAATCACATTGTATGAGGATCACATCATGTGATAATCACATTGTATGAGGATCACATCATGTGATAATCACATTGTATGAGGATCACATCATGTAAGAATCACATTGTATGAGGACCACATCATATGATAATCACATTGTATGAGGATCACATCATGTGATAATCACATTGTATGAGGATCACATCATGTGATAATCACATTGTATGAGGATCACATCATGTGATAATCACATTGTATGAGGATCACATCATGTGATAATCACATTGTATGGGGATCATATCATAAGGGTCATTAGATAAAGTGTGGTGATTGCATTTATGAAGTCAACATGATCATCATTGTATAAAGTCATCATTGTATATAGACGAATCACATCATCATTCAGGGAATTGCCAAGGAAGCAAAAACTTCCATAACTGCAGTAACTATGGTGATGTTTCCTTTGGCACCTTTTATTGGTACCAATATGAGAGATTAGTGCTCATAAAGTATTGTAAATATTGAATGCACAGTTACCTTTTTTAAAAATATTTTGTACATATAGAAATGTACAGTACGTACTGAGATTATGAAAAAGATGAGAACTTAATAATTCAGGTTTCCATGGTAACCCAAATTATTTTTATTATGGTTGCTATGGTTACCTAAATTGGTATTGCGTTTAGTTATTATAGTGTAGCATTTTTATTTTGTTAAAAAGTAAGTAGCTCTTGCCAAGGTTATTGTGTAAAACAAATACCATTTGAGATTTGTAAATGTATTTCATTCAAAGAGCATTATTAAATGTATGATATTATTTAATGTAAAATGTTTAAAACATGCATACATATTGTACATATATCTGTTGCTATGGTAATGGTTTTCACTATAATTTTAGTGAATTTATGAAAATCACAAACTCAGAAGCATTATTCTGAGTAACAAAATCAAAACCATGAATATCTCTCTGAATCAACTTAATAAAAAGATCTCATCGTTATCCAGAAAAATACAAGAAATTTATGTTTCTTGGTATTTTTGAATTCCTCTCTATAATTTTGATCACTTTGGGATTTTTTTATATATGAAAATTCCTGGATAAAAACAGTCGAAATATTGAGTCAGGATTAAAACATTTCCTAAAAATCTCAAAAATCCTGAATCTCAATAAACAAAAAAGAAAAAAATAGTTGTAACAGCGAAAATGAGTGTGCTCCAGGTTACTGAATATAAAAAAAGGAAATTCATGTAACTTTTTGAGTAAACACCACACCTTGGTGAAGTAGATAGGGGGAGGTCCACTCAGTCTTGAAGCAACATTACATATTGACATGATTTGTTTAAAGTGGCATTGATATACATACATACCATGTGGACCTATAAAGGTCAGCAATGCAGTATATTGAAAATTATGAGTCTGCTTCCAGTTTGATGAATGAATTTTAGAATTTATTATAGTAAAACTATGAATGATGTATTATTTTTGGTGTTTTGAAAAATTTATGATAGGCTGATGAATTCGAATGAAGTAAATTTATAATTTTGTTTTTCTAAAGATATCTTTGTAAAACATTGGAGTGTGAATCCATTTTCAATAGTTAATATTAGTTTAAGATTAGAATATGTTTGCACAATTATGTACAATTGTATATTTTGAAAATGAAAAATAACACATGTTGGATTATGAAATATTTATAAAAAAAAGTTTTTTGTTTTTGTGTTTACATAATACTGCGCCAAAGGATACACTGGGATGTCCTCATCGTCAAATAACATGATTTAAAAATTCCAAAGTTGTTTTCAAGATGATTAAGTTTAGGTAGACAATTGAATTTAAATTTAAATTTTTCCAAGGAATGACGGAAGTTGAGTAACGGAAGTTCTTTCTTTTTGGAAGAATCAGATATTTACCATTTTACATGTGTTCCTTATGTCAAACTAGTACCTCAACAAAGAAACAGAAGAATGTTTTGTCCTTGGCCCAACCCTGGGGAGACCCAACTAGACCAAACCACCGAACTCCACTTCCTGGCTGCCTGGTATTCGTATGTGTTTTCTTTTTTTATATGAAAAATTGCAACAGGCCATTAGAAAAACAACAAGCTTATTTAACTCCATTCTTAAGACAACATAAAAACACAACATGTGTGGCCTGTTCGGAATATGTTAGCTTTATGGTAGAATTCTATGTTTTTACATGTTTTTGATAATTTTACTGACATTTAAGTGGACCATTTGTAATTCGTTTAGTTTGTTTGTAAATTCTTATAATACCACAATACCCGTTATTGAAAATACAGTTGTTCAAGATATGAATTCATGTTCCCCCCGGTTCTAACAAGGTCACGGTGGTTCTCATCTGGCACTATGCACAATATTGTTAAAGTATTGTTATTGTTAAAGTCGACATTCTTTATTAATCTCACATTTCCGTTATATATTATGTTTAAAACATGGTCATTTATGATATTTTACTCTTAGGCACTTACATCTGTGTTGATTCTGTTATGTTGCTACCATTTACATCACTAGTTCAGAGATTGCATTCAAGGTCACGATACAACAATAACGATTCTTTCAGAGACATGGCCCTAGTCTTAAATTTGGTGAGACAACTTTTATTTGGCGAGGCAAATTGATTTAAAAGGGGGGAGAAAACAATCATTACTTTTAAAGCCAAGGGGACAAATATCATGGACTAAGTTCGAAGACAGCCTTAAAAAACGTCTGAATTGATATTTTTGTAAAATGTTGATGAGGCAGTTGCCTATGAATTTGGCCCTTGGTATGACGAAACACAGAATACACACTTTTGATGAATATGATACACATCCATACAATACAAGACAATGCAATACAATACAATACAATACAATACAATACAATACTATATACATTTATACAATACAATGATATAATAAAATACGATTTAGCAATGTACACGCAAAATCGTTCCTTTAGTATTAACCTTTTCAGAAACTTAACATGTAATCTCAACTATCCAAACATGTACTTAGCTAACTTTACTTAGCGGATGTTCTTCCATTTTGATACGGAAATATATATCCCGTTCAAAATTAGGCGCATGGTGTATCGCTCGTGGCATTCATACCTGAAAAGTCATCAATTCAGATTGGTAGCATTATAGCATTAACGAAATTTCAATGAAAAACAAACACTTCTCTTGTTCAGTGACGCTATTTATAAAATAGAATAACATCTTGAAAGCGTGTCTACATACATCAATTTGTAATCTTCAAAACTGTGAAAATTGATACTTTTGCATTCAGAGAATGCATTCTTTCTTTCTGCTCATTTAAAAAATGCGCGAAAATGTAATGAATTGAAAGCACTGGGTTAAGAAGGATTGATGCGGCTCGAAATAGCTGATCTAAATAGCCTGTTGACATTAAGAATGTGAAAAGAATAACATTTGTTAACAATATCATTTTTGTAAGAAGTCCTATCATTTTTCAAATCTAGTAATTGATAATTTGTTCCGAAGAATTTTCTTATTTAAATTTCGTGAAGGTGTTTCATGGGGTGATTTAGTTACTGAAGCAGATCGACCCAATCGTAATTTGAAATTCACGATAGGTATTTATTAATTAAGGTATATATATTCTAGTGTACCTTGAGCGAAGTTTAATTCTAGACGAAGCTCTCTTTAAGAGACGGGGCAAAGGGCAGTTCTACCATGGGCTTGAAGTTACCCACGTTCGACTTCCAAGGTACGGTGGTTATAATACAATGCCGATAGAGCAATTGAAACCTCACGAATCTCGATACGATCCTCCAGCTATCTTTCATCATTTTTACAGTCTTCAACATAAAGTAACGATGAGAAACACCTGACCTTTCATGACCTTACAGACCGTGACATACAAAGGTCACCAATTCAAAAGTGCTCCATATTTTAAGTATTGATAGAAAAACTTTCTCCGTCTTAAGTTGTATGAATCTTAGACTGACTGACTCAAAGTCTCATTTTCTTATTTTTGAATTCTTGACATTATTATTGAAATTCGTAGCCCAATGTAAAAGTCAAAATAAAGTAGCAGAGGCCAGGGCGCCAGGCTCTCTAATAATCGGCTTACTTCTGACACGGCGGTCGCCATAAACGCGATAACGATATTCGAATGGAACTTTCGCTTCATGCACAACCAGTGAAATTGACCCTTCCTCAGCTGGTCTATTAAAGATGCCCTTTCACGGTTCCACAGTTGGATGACTCTAACTGCAGTTAGCGTCATTCAAGATGGTTGTTGAATTTTTTTTCGAAAAACCTCCGATTTCAGCAAAACCAAGTTGAACCTTGATTCCAAAAGTTTCGCCATGCAAAATAAAAAAACTATGATTGTAAAAAAACACAAACAGTGGTTCAAAACATAACATAACTATAATTACTTCATATCATTATGACAGACAATGAAGTGTCCTAATTTCTGATTCGAACATGACTGTATTCACGCTTTCTATGAACTGTAAACAAAGTCACGAAAAATTTCGAACGGAATGCGTGACTTATACGTAATTCGCGTGAAAAGTCCGAACGATATGCGTACGTTTTTTTCCGGCGTTCGTATTTTTGCTGTGTAGACGATCTTTTTAAAAAAAATTTCTACAGAAATATTTTTGCTTGACAATTACCAGGTAAAATGCGTATTTGCGTGACATTTTCTGTCACGCAAAAATAACTGGCGTGACTTCAAATTCTTCAGCAAATGCGTGACAAATACGCAAATTGCGGGACAGTTGACAGGCCTGGAATCGTAACATAGACCTCAGAGCAGGTGTATATCGTCGAGTACACCCCGGATCCGATGGCTAGACGCAAACGCTTTCGAACCCCTCACTCCCTTCGGTCGTACAAAAAACGTTAGTGCCTAGCCCTGCGGGAAGTATTCGACGATATTACACCTGCTTTTCGGTCTATATTTCTTAAATCACACACATTGATCCTACAATAAAGCATGGCCCATGATATAATATATAATGAAAATGCAGATTTGGAAACATCGATCGAACAGTTCTGGATCTAGTCACTGCAGAATGTTCCCACCTCATTCAATTCAAGAAAATATAGCTTTGAGTATTTGGGGTTATCAACATTATGTTTACTTTCTTTATCGTAAATACCACTCATTATTTTGTAAACAATGGCAGATAAGCTGAACTCGGGTTATTGAGGTACAAGAATTTGTAAATAGACTCTCTGTTGCTTAAATTCTTGAGTCTGGATTTCATATCAAAACACGAGCAAAATGTAATTCTTCTCTGAACCGTGGCCAAGTCCAGTTGGGAGGTGGTCTTACCGGACTCGTATCGGTATTCCAAACCTACACTCCCCTTCAGAAGTTTGGGAAACGCTACTCACCCATTACTTTTTTGTAATAAAATATCCAACTTGGAATTGGGAAAAAAATGTAATTAAGTCGTGGTAGAAAAAGCAAGCTTTTAAGAAGCTAAGTTGAACGAATGTAAGGGGTACCTTTACGCCATTCTGATCGAATGTGTCGAATCTGGCCAATAATGAAATATGCATTGCCTAGTTTCACAGCTTCTACTATGTCAGGAAGATCTCTCATGATGCCTGAATGAGAAATCTAGCTTTTTGTTTTTAAAATTTTTATCAATAAGAATATGTGAAAACAAACACATTTGCATAAATATTACATCAATTTTGAAGCATTCAAAACGTCTGTGCCAAATCTAATTTAGATGAATTCGGATTTTCCCTAAAAATTCATATATCATTCAACAGCCTGTCAATATGTTTATTTGACTTTCCGTATGTTTGTTTGTTTTTTGTTATCTAACATAAACCCCTAAAGGCAGATAGTTTTCCCAAACTGATTAACCTGTTGAACCATCTATCAGAAGTCGTACATTACAACGAGGTTACCTAACAGTCTGTGAAGTGCCCGATCAAATCAAATATAGCAATCTCTCAGTCTACATGTACGTTGATAGCGGTTGATGGCTTTATTGGCCATCATTATCTGCACAAACATTATAAATCTGATATGGGTGTATAAGCTTACTGCAGACCCGTGTGGTTTCTTAGGATACAAGGGAGGATTCACATCCCAGGTATTCATCCCCATTCTGGTTTTATAAGAGCCCCTCTTTTTAAAGCTTGCGTCACCAGACAGCGAGCAGGGGCTAAAAATATCAAGAGAAGAACTAAACATTCCTCAGTCAAAAAATAATTAAAAAAATAGATTTTTAATGGCCTCTGAAAAACCGATAACGATTTGAGATGCGAACAGGGTAGTAGTCCCGGGTAGTAGTATTGTGTAATTTGATTGGCAGTCGCCACAAACCCTATTCGGCCACCTCCATTGCCACGGGATACCATCGAATAATTTTGGCAACGTACCGGAGAACGACATTTTACTAAGAAATGGCAATAATTTAGCACAATATATTTTTAAACTAGAGTTCTACTTTGATTTTGACAAAAGTAAGTATTCCATGCAATGGCTATTTCATTCATGAGTTTGTAGGAATTCTGTTGGAACCCAGTTCTGATCAAGTACGAAGTTATTGAAATCGGCGCAGTCGGACTTTACTCCGAAAGATGGTTTTTCGATTATAACTTTTTACAACATTTAAGTATAGACTTTTGAAAAAAGTACAGAATAGTCCTTATACTATTGAATAATTCTGTTATTTCTGATTCACACGACTCTGATTTGTTTAATTAAAAAAAAGTTTTAAAAATATTACTTAGGAACGTAACCGGAGCTGGGAACGTAACCGGAGCAGATCAGTTGAATTATATAATTTAAAAAAATAAAATATATGATTTAAAGCATATATATTAATAAATACGCATTCGAACAATCCCGTATGTTTTTAAATTAGTATATGTACATGTAGTATATATAGTATATTTTTGATTAAATAATTCAACTGATCTGCTCCGGTTACGTTCCCAGCTCCGGTTACGCTCCTAAGTAATATTTTTAAAACTTTTTTTTAATTAAACAAATCAGAGTCGTGTGAATCAGAAATAACAGAATTATTCAAAAGTATAAGGACTATTCTGTACTTTTTTTCAAAAGTCTTTACTTAAATGTTGTGAAAAGTTATAATCGAAAAACCATCTTTCGGAGTAAAGTCCGTCTGCGCCGATTTCAATAACTTCGTACTTGATCAGAACTGGGTTCCAACAGAATTCCTACAAACTCATGAATGAAATAGTTATTGCATGGAATACTTACTTTTGTCAAAATCAAAATAGAACTCTAATTAAAAAATATATTGTGCTAAATTATTGCCATTTCTTAGTAAAATGTCGTTCTCCGGTACGTTGCCAAAATTATTCGATGGTACCCCGTGATTGCCGACAAAGCCACACTTGATAACATACACGCAATTAACTATAAAATGGGAAACAATAAACTGCTAAACGGGTCCAATAATAGCAAAGTGTGAAGCGACTCGACTTTCTGAACAAGTTATGGACGCCAAAGTTGTCAACTCAATTGACCAATTTATTGACCACCGTCTGGCTACTATACACAACGCCGAACAACAAAATGAGAATTTTGAAACTGTCATACACGTACGTCTCTTGCCTTGCCCAAGTCGGTATTATATTTTGTTCATCTTGATTTTCAATTAATCCAATGAAAATAAAATGAAATATAAAGACACTGACTTAGGCAAGGTTAATTGAATTTTGCCTCGTCTTTTCAAATTTGACTCGCATTTCTGGCTCTTATCTGATTGATTATGATATCCACAAACGAAAATTAGTATTTCAAAATACGTCACGTACGATGGTGTTACGTGACGAGTACATTAAGTACAGTAACGTTACGTGACGTTAATTTCCCAACGCTACATCACGATTCGTCCGACATATTTTAGTTTTCCAGTTTTCCACCTCGTGTTGAGCAACGCCTGTGTGTAACATTTAATGCAATTTATGGGGTTTTATTTGACATTTCTTGCTCATAAATTAACCTTAATTACATATGTGAATGTTACACTAATGATAAGTGATGACTTCATGAGTTAACAATTGATTCATATATTTGACATTCAAAACAGGTTTGATTGATTTGCATATTTTTAAGTATAATTTAACTCACAAACATCCTTACTTTTGAAAGCGACTCGTTTGGTCGAAAGTTTTACATCATTTGAAATAACACAGGTCCGCAAGAGAGAACGATTACCTTGGGGCCCCAAAGAAATTACTGCGAAATCAGGATTTGAATGCTGGAACTTAGATTTGGCGCCTACATTTTCTCAAAATATGTTCCGGAATTTACCTCTTCGTATTATTAAAGTATTCTTAACTTTGGACCTTTTTCAGGTCCGCTACTATGATGACGTCACGAGGAATCAAGTCCAATTAAACTCCAACTATAGCAACCATAAATGATAATAGCAGACAAAATGAAACCATTAAATATCTTGTTTCACATGATTTAAATAGCGTCAGTCTGATGTAGTTCTTTTTTATCTTAGTTTCAATTAAAGACAAATTATGTAACTACGTTGGATGATATCTTCATTTAGCGCATACATGACATTTATTGGGCTGATTAACATGTTTCAGACGTAAAGCTGTGTTTTACTTCAAGATAAGGCAGTTGCACGCAAAACAACATGTTTCACATATGCCCGATGTGGGAAATTTTCTGACAGCTGTGTGAGTTTAGTAAACCAAATACTACAACAACTAGTATCGACATCCCACGTTCCAATGTATCAAGAGTGAAAAAGATTTATGAATGAAGCAGTGTTCCCGCCTTTTGAAGATGCTCTAATCTGATTGGCCGAGAGGCTAATTGATTGACAGCGCTGATAAATACTTCATATCTATATCGGAGCAACTGGAGCCAACGGTATATCTCACTATAAAGCTTTTACTGAGCATGTAATTAGTTTGTTTTAGTAATTTCGGAACTTAGCCAATAAGACTGGACCTTGTCAGGCAGGATTCTTGGCACCACGTTTTACAAAACTGCAAGGAAGTTGTCTGTGCCTCACATCGACGTTGATATGGTCATCGAGAAAAGGTCTTTTCACTTCAACCCAAGTGAATCAGATCAAATAGTTTAATGGCAGGACGTGTTTAACATTAGTATATCAAGAACAAGAAATGGTATTTCTAATGGGATATTGCAATTGATAAGGAAACGGATATAAAGGTATATGATCATTGTAATTTAATTGACAATTGAGCTTCATGATCGGAAAGTGTTTTTACAAGAAGTCACAACATTGTTTTTAATGATATAAACATCATTGAGTTATCGTACATCGTTAAGAGATTTGCACCAGAAGGAATAACATTATTTTGGGTAAATAGCAGCACTGGCCAGCGAAACAAGGTGTTCATAACAGTTTTTCGCAATTTGGTAAAGAAATGTAAAGATCTTACAAGTGAAATAACGAGATAATTTTCTGGACTTTAAAACGAAAGCTATACAAATTTTACACCGATCGTAATCAAGAAAATCGTATTTTAAGTCCAAAGTGCGAAGTTAGAAAAATGTAAGTTTTACGGGAGTGTTCAAAAAGTACTGTGAAATGCACATCACGTAACAGAAGCTCGCGACTAGAGCGACGACGAAAACACCCTACATCAACGAAATATCTCCAATGTGGGAAGAAATCCCTTATGACAAAATGAAGAGGATTTTATTTTTCTTAATGACATGTAACCTCGTGGCTTGGGGTAAAAAACATCACGAAGCCAATGGAGACCTCAGTAGTGATCAACATGTTATGCTACAACACACTATTAAGAACATGCTTGGGTACGAGAAACTGCCCTCTGATCCCAAGTCCAAGAGCACCGTCATGGAGACTGCCCCAAAGTACATGCTGGACTTATACGAGAAATATAGAAATGGCAGGTTCAAAAAGGACGAGGATAGGGGAAATACAGTCAGAAGCATTCACGCAAGTATAGGTACGATTCTGATTTTAAGTTCTTAGATTAAATCGTGTCTCGCCCTACATCGTGGTATACCAATGATCATCTCTTCACTTCAATTTTATCCTTTGGAATGAAGACAATACGATGATCATATGTTCCCATGGTCTCTTTCAGCCATACTGAGACCTCAACATTGTTACTCAACGTATGAACTATAGATATGCAAAATCCACAGTTTGATTTTTGGTAATCTAAGATGGTCCTGCCAGATTATACTTGCATATTCTCCTATATCCTTACTGACCCTGGTACAACTTCAACAGTGATGTTTTATTTCTTTTTTTGTAATTTTATTATCTGAAAAGTCAAGATTGATTTCAACATTTACATTTCTACCCTTTTCAAAAGGTCGCATCTCTTAAAGAGAGCTTCATCTATGCTCTTAAAATAAGAGATAATTCTTTGATTTAGCTTTAACCAATAAGAAGTTAATTTCTACTGGCTCCTGGATTTCAGGATTTTACATTTTTTGGCAAGATCTAAAAAGCGTATTGAAACAAAACTCGATAAGGTGGGAGTCTAGGATGATATTTGATTTTTCTTTAAGAGAGCTTCATCTTATTTACTAGGGTCAGAAAATAAGTTTGATAATCATATAGCTTATATTGATGATCTTTGGTAAATTACCAATCCAATGACGTAATTTTGTTTAGAAGATACAGAAAAAATGTTATTGGAATGTCCATTCCAACCTCCTGAATTCTTTCCTACCTCTCCACATTTTTCTACTCGAGTTCTTCGTCAACAAACACAGTAGAACGCTTTGCACTCGAATTTGAGGTTCAATCGATACTTGTGTTTTCCATACAAGTGCAAGATTCCATGCATTTGTTTGTTATCTGAAGGGGAAATGTACATTTCAAACAACCAAATGAATCAAATAATCAAATAATTCGGTTGCTATGATATTCAAGGACTCCACTTTGATCACAGTGTTATGCCTTATAATTTACCCTTTTCAATATTTTGCCTGCTAAAAGAGAGCTTCACCTCATTAATAGGCTCTAATGACACTCGGGGTAAGACTAAGTTGAACTTGAAATTGTATCTTACTTTTATTGCCACATTCAAAGAATGTAACCCTGCGCGTAGAGTCCAGTTATAAACTAAGGGAAAGCTCTCTTTTAAAGCGGAAATAATGTCAGGTATTCTAATCATCATTATATGTAGTTACAATACTACTGAATAAAATGCAATAAGTTGAAAATCGTGTTATGTGTCAGTTTTTGTATAATATTGAAAATAAAAATCATAAATTGACCCAGTGACCCAGTTGTCTGTTGGACGGGGCTCGCCATATTTCCCTCAGAGACCCGGATGTAGACCGGAAGTGTGACGTTTCTGCGACCTGAGTCGCCATCTTGAAAGCATTCACAACAAAGGAAAATGCCTATGTGTTGTGCGGTAAATTGTTCAAATATTTCCACTGATAGAGCTAGACTTGGGATAAGAACTTTAAAAGAAATGCCTGAACGACAGTACGACAGTCGGCTGGTGACGGTAGAATTAAAATCTGTCGACAGTTCAAACCAGCTGTCGTTGTCGTGGACCGAATCCCCGGGGAATATAACACATTTAAAACAGTGTCACTTACTATAGTTTCTGAAAAGTTTCATGCACGGCTTTTAACAATCAAAGATTCCTACTTATTATTGTCTTGTTTGTCATCCTATATCTATCCTGGGGTTGTGTTTTTTCTCCCCAATACGGGAAAACATTTTGAATAAAGAATTTTCTAATTCCGCCATCGAATAAGTAGGGTAATCTGCAGCAGTTTCGTTTTTGCTTCAACTCTTCACGCATGCCTAGTAGTTTGAAATAATTTACAAGTGCGCATGTGTTTTTGGAATTAAGCCAATCAAATTATTCATTCTAATGCGCATGAACTAGATTCCGAATCAAGAGGAACTGGCGCAGATTGCCTCAAATGCTGAAATCGCTCTTCAAAAGCTCTTCAAAATAGATTGGTGAATAAAAATGAATAACAACTGAAGTTAGAGTGGTTTACAGTATTTAGTTCGATGTCAGGATATTTCAAGTAAGTATTGATTATATAGACGCTACAGTGATGATGGTTCTAGACACGCGGGGCAAGTTGTTTTAGCTGATTTTCTCCTCAAACGGCGTAGATTGAACACAATTTTACTTCCGGGTTTACCCACGACAGTTTGCTATCGGCAACAGAAATAACACTGTCGTTATCGACAATGGAATCTCACTGTCGTTCGGGCAGTTGCCATACCATACATATTCTCTCACAAGAAACCAAAGAAAACGGATTCAAGGCGAGCAATCCGGTTCCAAAAAGAGAACTGAACCAGGCCATGTGCCGGTTAGGTCGACGCCATTTTGAAAAAACTTTTTGAATTGTATCGTATCGTATCGTATGTCTTTAATAGCTTTATAACTTAATACCATATTTGTGAAATAAATATAACATACTAGGTCTACGAGCCTTTAAATTGTTTGTTGTCTACTGTAATTACAACAAAAATACACCTCCATGGTGATCGAAATGACGAACCTTGCGTCATCGATCGCGATCATTCATGACGGGGAATACATTATCAGTTCTGCCTTATATTTATAACAGAGTGTCAAAAATCCAATTAATATCTGCCATTCGTCATTTTATTAAATAAAAGATCCGAATATGTTTAATCTTCAAGCAAAACGATCGAGAGATAATTGATTGTCAACATAAAATTAACGCATTTTCCTGTCATGTCGGTAACCAACGTTCACGAGTTGGTCAGTTTTTGGTTTTGATTGGCACTTTGGGAGTTAATTCTATGAATTGTAAGTATTGATGTGAACATGGTCATGTTTTTCTCGAACAGGTGATATCATATTATAGTATTTCAATATGCCAAATACATCGTCAAAATCTTCAAATTGCTCCATTTTCTTGTCAGAAGTTCGTAATATTTTTCAATGTGGCCGCCCCGCTACAATTGCGCATGCGCATTTTTCGGGCCAATCAAAATGCTGGAATTTGTCGAGTCGCAGTGACGCCGCTCATGAATATTCATAGGTAGGTTATGGCGACCTCCATAATCCAGGTGAAGATCCAATACCTCAAAATTAATTCCAATATATATGCCGATGCATAAGGAGATCGTCGCTCATACCCGGGTCATGTTTTTGATTATAGACTTATTATTCTGATGAATCATAGTTTTTACTTGAGGTTATTATCCCTTTAAGAAGCGAAATCGAATAAATGCAAAGGGTAAAAGAATGTTAAATGGCTCGATGATGTTGACAAAAAAAAGACTAGATGTATCGTGGTTTAGTCTCAATAATTTAATTGTTTTTCAATTTCAATTTATTTATATTTCCTGGATATTGGTACAGATACAAATGTATGACTTTGTTAAACTTAATAACATTAGCAGCAAAACAGAACATAAAAATATAATACAGGAATTTACACAAAAACAACAAAGTGATTTAAGTGAAAAATTTCATCGTGATAAGTCCTGGTATCATCTTCCTTCCCTGGCTAGTTAGGCCATGGGTGATGACTGGGTATCAGAACTTAACTATCATTATACGGAAAAACTAATCTGTTTCCAACTTATAACCGCCTTTTAGATGCATTAGTCTCGCCAGCTAATAACACGAATTAAAAATTAAAGAAACGGGAGACTTGAGTTCGTTTAGATATGTTACTTGTCCGCTACAAGGTCTGATGTTAAATTAGACGCACATGGATCTCTTGTGTTTATAATTATCAGGTACAGCTTGGTAACATCAAACATCACCTGGTAGTTTACTTGACCTAGGACCTTCACCGTAGAGAGCTAAAAACTAGACTCTGAGGATGTCAAGGTTTTCATAATTGGGTAACTGTTATTGCGACATGTTCTAATGATTCTGATTGAAGAAACTATATATCAGAGAATTGTTTCTTTTAAAAGCAGTGTAGATGAAGCCATTCTGATACTCAGACCATCTCTGCAATGTACAAGAATAGAAAGGAAACTGAGAGAAGGCTGTGATATCTCACGATGAGATGAAGTCCTCTTTTAGAGATCCGAAGTCAAACTCTTTAAAAAGGATACCAACGATAAGACCACTTTTATGAAGACCTCCATCTGTATATACATGGAACTTCTCTCTTTCAACTAGTGTCACATTTCCACTGTTTTTTTTAATTATTTTTTTCAAGATCATTTAGATCATCATTTAGAGCTTCAACATTCAACTTAACCGGGTATGTAATCCCTCATTTCAATATTTTGATCAATTTTAAATTTGCTCTTGAAACATCACGGTTTTCGTTCACTGGAACCTCCTCCAAATTTCTCAATTACAAATCATTGCTTGATCTAGCAGTGGAGAACCAAACACTCACTTGGAGAACGAAATCAAGGCCCAATACTAGCCCACCCGTAGAAAAAAATAATCAAGGTTCCTTTGACGTTGACTTTCCACCTGTGAAATCTGTTTGTTTTTGATGTGGATGATCCGAGGTTATTCGGTAAGGATATGTTGGAATGTGGGCATTGGGAAGGCATAATCCAGCGATAATCTTGTTGAGTAATATCAAAGGTTACAACAATACGTATTATAGATCTCCTTAATACAATCAGACAGTCGTGAATGTAATTTTCAGGAAGATGTTTATCAGTACGGTGGCACCAGCTTATGTTCAATGTATTGTCGTGTAAATGTGAGGAAATACGATTGTTAGAAATGGTCAACTGTTTAAGGTGGACCTCCATGTTGTTAATGAATGGGGGACTGATGAGGATCAAAATGATAACATCGTATATGATTGTGTATCTTAATAAAAGCTCTTTGTCAATTTCAAATATAAACATGAAACGCCTTTGTCAAAATAAGACGCCAATGGCTCCATTTGATCAAAATCATTTTAAGGGATCAGGTCAAGGGATAATTGCCCTATTCTTATCGCCGTCGAGGACCTATGTATTTTTGTAACTCCGAAGAGACTAGTCTTGCTT